TACGTCATCAGAACCAGTTGTTACCTTCGCCAACACGCAACTGGTGTGTTATCCTAGGCCCTGGGGAAATTCTTTCTGGCCTCAGGCCATTTGTATTTTCAAAGGGAAAAAACCTGAAGGAGATTTTTTAATCCAATTTCTTTAACCCGATTCATTCTTTCATTCAGCATTTGTGAGCCTTTTCTTGGTGGCAGCCTAGTTCCAGGCATTCAAAATACAGCAATCGAGGGGGAAGGGTATAGCTCAAGTGGTAGAGTGCACGCTTAGCACCCAGGAGGTCCCGGGTTCAATCCCTGGTACCACCTCCAAGCGGAAATCAGTGAAGAATCGAGGTGGAGGGGTATGTCTCAGTCATACAGTTCATGCTTGGCATACAGGAAGTCCGGGGTTCAATCCCCAGTGCCTCTATTAAGGGGAAGAAGTGGGAAAAAAAATACACAGCAGTGACCACAGCAGCCCAATATAAGGCAGGCGGTGGTCAGTCGGGGAACTGGGGAGGGGGCAGAAGAGCCCCGTTGTTTCCAGCACGGGACTCCCAGTTCAGATCTGGCCTCCCAGGTCATTAAAGGCAGGAAGACAGAAGACACTTTATGTACATTTCATATAACTGTTAGGAGATGGGCCCCTGTCTGACTCTGGCCCTGCTGATACCAGGGGCCGCGGGTCTCCATGGTGCAGGGCAGGTGGCGGGGGCAGTTTGCCCATCTGTAGAGCCTGGCCCATTCCAGGCCCCAAGAATGTGACAACCGCCTTCAGGCCCCGGCCAGATGGGGACAACTCTGATAGCAGGACGTCTCAGGAAGGCAGCGAGCCTTCTATCTGCAGCCCCTTGTGCAGAGGCAAACCCAGACAGAAGACAAGGCGGGGTGGCCAAGAGAGGGCCCTAGGAGGGGCACGGTGGTGGGGGAGACCTGCGTTGGAGCCCTGCCTACAGGGCTGTCCCCTCTGTCCCATCCCAAACCCCACTGTCACTGGGCCCTCTGGGAGGGAGTTAAGGCTTTGCGGGAACCAGAGGTGGGGTTAGGTCAGGCTCTGGCCCTGCGTGGCCTGGGCCACTCCAGCCCCTGCCCCCGCGTCCTGCTGGTGGTCTGCCCCTCCAGCAGCCCAGGCTCTGTAAAGTTCTGAAAGGGTGGGAAGTTCCCTTTCAACCTCTCCACAGGAACAAAAGCAGCTAATTGTCCCTAAACCCCACTGGCTGGCCTGTCTTTTATTAGCAACCTCCCTGAAATCCTGGGTTACCAGAAGAGGCCTTAATTGGGGAACGTGAAAGGGCCCCAGGCCTGGGGTGGGGGCGGGGGC